AGAATAAAAATGTTCTCTTTTGTCATTCTTACCAATGAAACTGGTGATGGTTTTATGACAGCTTTAATTAAACGTAATACAACCATTCCAATAAAACTAACACAAACATTTACAACCTACTTGGATAATCAATCATGTGCTAGTGTTATAGTTTTTGAAGGTGAAAGTTCAAGAGTGAGAGATAATCATCTATTGGGTAATTTTCAACTATATGGTATTTCCCCAGCTCCAAGTGGTGTACCAAATATTGCAGTTACATTTGAGATTGATGTTAATGGTATATTAAGTGTCTCAGCTGTTGAACAAACAACTGGTCGTGAAAATAAAATAACAATAATAAATGATAATGGGAATTTATCTAAAGATGAAATTCAACGTATGATTGCTGATGCTGAACAGTATAAAAAAGAAGATGAAATACAACGTGATCGTCTTGAAGCTATGAATTCACTTGAATCATATTGTTTTAATATAAGAGCAAAAATTAATGATGAAAAATTAGCAGATAAATTTCATATTTATGACACGAAAAAAATGATCGATACTATCGAAGACACATTGATATGGTTAGAAACAAATCAGGTGTGAAAATTTTATTTCTATACTCTATTGTATTTTATGAGCATTTTAGTTTGCTGAAACAGAAGAATTTGTACAAAAATTAAGAGAACTTGAAGCAATATATTCATTAGTAACGATGAAAATTCGCACTGCTGAAGATAGTGCTGTAAAAGTCCCAGAAGAGTTTTCTAATGATTCAACAGGTGAGTAATTAATTTTCAAGTTCATCCTAATTATAGGCAATTTTATTATCGTAAAGAATAAGGGAAATTGCATAGATTTTTTTTCTACAGCGCGTTTTATTTGTCAAGCAGAAATATGTCAGCTGTGGCTGCTGTACGTGCAGGCGTGGGAAATACTCTTTTTTAGTCATAGCTATCCTAGACTAGACGTCGTTGTTTCTTGATACGACTATTTGATTAACAATAAAAGAAAAAAGTTTATCTTTTTTCGATTCTCTATTAAAACACGCTCGTGTTAGGAGAAGTCCGACCCTATATTTAGTATCAGATGCATTGCAGTTTAGCAGAGCACAATTGTTGCTTGATTTTTTTTTCAAAATAATTTCAGAGAACCAGAAAACATGAATATGTAGTAACAAAAGACCGAAAATCAATCTCATCTTTAGCAAGAGAATTTTTAGAATCGACTACAAACTGGTTCCTAACAATTCATTTTCATGATTCAGTGTTTTTGGAGAATACTTTACTATTAAAAGTGTATATAAGTATAACCTATTTTCAAAGAATCGTAAAGATATATATATAGCATATGGAAAACAATTGTATGAATTTCTATTTTAGAAGACAGAAGTTTTCCTTCTATTACACTGGAATCAAATCGTGGTGATGAACTATCTAATCTGAATTCACGTTTACTGGATATTCGTAATGAACATCAGCGTATGCTATTACCGTAAGTTTCAATGGATCATCTATCAAAATTACTATTTCTTCCAGTTTATCTCTAGCATCAAAGGTTATGAAGATAAGCCTCTCTTATCATTAGACGATGCAGTCAAACACTTGCAAGAAATCATTCCCAATATTAGACGAAATGCATCGATTGCGAAAGAGAGATCCGCTACTGTGGCTGGTAGACTTACTCAAGATGAATCAGCTGCTATTCAGCTGTACACGATGAAATGGAAACCAAATGATCAATCATTGTCTATTCATATCAATGCTGCCCTACGAGAAGAAAATCGAGATCAACTCATTCCTTATTCGTACTATTTAAAACTTGTTCTAACCGCTCTGCGAAAACTGCCATCAGTCAAAAGGACTGTATGGTGTGGTGTTAAAGCTGACTTGAGTGCTCAATATCTGATTGGCAAAGAATTCGTCTGGTGGGGATTCAAGTCAGTTCTATGTGTCTTTTTTTTTATTGATTTCATGTTCTCTTTTTTAATAGTTCGTGTATTGAATCACTCCAACTTCTTGAATATGACAAGTTTTTGGGCAAGACAGGAGTAAGAACACTGTTTAGTATCGAATGTGAAACCGGGAAATCTATTCGTGCTCATTCGTCTTACAAGGGAGAGGATGAAATTCTTCTTTTACCGGCTACGCGAATGAAAGTAGTCGGTCGTGCTGACTTTGGCAACGGCCTAGTTATCATTCATTTGCGAGAGATTCAACCACCGTTTACTTAATTTCATTCATCGATCATTCTGTTACATAGTTCAGAATAATTTCTTATTGAAAAAAGTAATACATGACTGTATCTTTGATGCATTGATTCTTTCGAATGAGAAAGTTGTCACAATAAAACCATGCACTAACTAACAACTCGTCTCATGATGCAAGCAACCTGATAAAACTATCGTAGCAAGTGATTTTAATAATGTCCAGTCAATATACAAGTCGCGAGACAGAAAAAGATGTACTTATTTGCGAGAGAATGGGCCCTCAACGACGCGTGTTTCTGCTCTACCAAGCATTGTTCGATGAATGAATGATCATACTGTCTTCAAATGAACAACAAGGGTGTGGGTGTGGGTGTTGGAAAGGTGTACGAAGCGTGAGTGGGTGGGAGAGGAGGAATGTAAGTGTGGTGTGTGTGGGGGGGGGGAGGTGTGTGTCGCTGAACAGATGGTAAACATCTACATCTGAGCTAATACCCTTATCTTTACATTATATTATGGCAGCATATTCTAATGTTCATGATAACATGAGCTTTATTCATTACGCTATGCAATAATTACAAAAATCCATCTTAGAGGCGACTTTTAAACGACACCAACTACCTCCAGTAATACTGAAATGAATTTCATGTAGCCAGTAGGAGTTTTTTTTCTTCTATTCGATCATTATTTTTCGTTCACCCTTCTCATTAATGTTTTACGGTTGCTATATGAAGTTCTTCTCACCACAGTGTGTATTTAAAAACAATTCGAAAAAATAAAAACTTGGAGTTAGACCGAATAGAAATGAAGCAGTACGCATTGCCATACTATAAAAGCAAGTAAAACATGATTTGCACAAAACGAGCAAATGGTACAAATTGCAAAAATAGTGTGACAAACAAAATAGGATTTGGGTGTGAATGTGAATGGAGTATGGGTCGAGATTAGAACAGCGTCCACACCTACACCGACATCCACTCATACCTTCCAGATAATGAAGCGTCATTTGAAAATATAATTAATGGTATATGCTGGTGTAATATGCAGTTGAAAGTGTTTCTTCGAAAGTATGGAGAAGCAAATTAAAGGCGGTCATCGGTCAAGATGATCCTTTTGATTCTGTCGAAGAGTTCTTATCAAATAATGCTCATATTGAAGGATATATACATATTCAGATTCCTCAGGGTGTGGGTGTGGGTGTGTGGGTGTTGGTGGGTGTGTGGGTGTGGGTGTGAGTGTAGGTGTTGGTGGGTGTGTGGGTGTGAGTGTGGGTGTTGGTGGGTGTGTGGGTGTGGATGGGTATTAATTGAGAATACACCCATACCCACCCACACCCACCCACTCCCACACCCACCCACACCCATACCCACCCACACCCATACCCACCCACACCCACACCCACCGATCCACGCCCACACCCACCCACACCCACACCCATACCCACCCACACCCACCGACCCACCCACACCCTATTCTTCAACAGGAGAAGTTGAATCTGTCTGCAGGTTGAAGAAAACACAGGTCGTATACGGTTGTTTACATTAGAGCCCGAAATGAACTGACAGTTTTAGTTTTGAGTGCAATTCGATTTCGAATTCTGTTTTTAAAAGCTTCGCTGTCTTCGTCAGGCTCACTAAGTATTACGAAAATCTTCTTAAGACAGTCCACACCTTTTTTTCTCTAGCCGCTCTTATTGTATATTATCCCACCAACTAACCGCACATTCGCAGTTCAGTAAGTCGCCACTCATTTTGTCAAAGATTTGAGGAACGATTTACACCTGGAATATATGTGTATTTAGTCAAAAACGTCGACTCTAACTAACGGTCAAAATGTTCAAGAAGTGCTAGCAAAAATTTGTGCCTATACGCCTTCTTTTTTGTAGAAGTTAGTCACAATGGCGCTAACGCCAATATCATTCTTGTCAAACATGATTAGCTCGCAATATTCCTTTGATTTCATTGAATCAGTCATGGTCACTTCCGGAATAGTCATTCCATTAGCAATATTTTCACCTACATCTCACCAATTGTAGCCAAGAATTTTGATCAATGAAGAAAACGCGTACTTCCGTACTTCAGAAGTATAAAGAAGTATCCAAAACTATGAAGAAGTACTTGGAAGTAGCTAGACGTATGGAAGAAATATGCAGACGTAGGGTGTGGATGTTGTCTTCACCGATATTGACATCGACACCCATATCCAGACCCACGCCCAACCGACACCCACTCACATCCACATTCACACCCTTTTGCAACTTTCGCTCAAACAACCACCGCCACAGTGAACCAAAAGGATATAGGTGTGGGTGCAATTTAAACGAAGCTCTGCGCTTACATTCGCACCCACACCCACACCCATACTAAGCAGCGAAAATTTTATTTTTTCGCTTTGTCAAACAAGTATTTTCTAATGACAATATAGTTCTATGAAAAATATCATTTAAATCTTGATCACAGAAGCACATAGCGCCCTAGGGGACAACTTTTTAGAGCAACATCAAAAATAAAGTTCAAAGAAAAAGATTAAGTTCATGAGAAGAAAAACTTAATTTTCCGAGTGAGAGTAAGAGAATATTTCTTTTTATTTCATATTCAACCGCCGAAGGCAGCAGCTTTTTGGAACATTATTACAAAAGCTCAGTCAAAACAGATACTACTCAAATAAATACGAACTAGTTTTCTTTTCTGAGCAACAAAGAAAATATAAAATTTTATCTATCTTAAACGATGAAAATGAGCTTCAAAATATCTTTCATATTGGAATTCGTTGTTGAAATACTAAATCATACAATCAACAAACACTTATTTATTTTTCATACCTAAAACTTCCAAAATTTTCGTTTATTTCAAGAGTACACGCCCTCACATCTCTCATTTTCGTGGTCGCTGGTCATCTGCTGCCATCTCTTGATTATTATTTATAATAAAAATGGCGTAATCACTCATCAATAGAAAGGTCATCTGTTAATTAACTTATGTGACGGCGTGGTCTAAGATATTTATGCAATATTGGAATTCTTTTTAATTTAATATTTAAATAAATAAATAAATAATCATCATTTTAATTTTTTTTACCTCTTAAAATTTTTCTTTTTTTTTAATATAAAATTAATTTATATTTTTTCAGAAAATTTTTCAGACTTTTACGTTTTTTTTTTTGAAGCATTTTTTTTATTTTGTTTACGTATTTCTTACTATCAATCTTTTTCTTTTATCTTTTTTTAGATATAAATAAAACCAGATACATTTTTTTATGTGAATTACTTTACAAAAAAATGAATTCTTTTTCTGAAAAAAACGATTCATCTACATGCAATTCAAACAATCAAGAATCATCGTCTGATTTATTCTATATGGTGAATCTAGTGACAAAACAAAAAGTATTTATTAAACTAACCTTACTCAATCTTTTGAATTGTTTTTTTTAAGATATATTTTCCAATATCTGATAAAATAAATTGGTATCATTATGATACAATAAAAAATGGTTTATTGGATTTTGGACACTTAAAGTAATCTAGAAATATTTAGAAATATTTTGTATTTGATTTTGAGTTTTTTTTTAAGATTTATGATTTCAATTGATATTTTACGTCGAATCATGGAAAGTTATTTTAATTTAAATATATTTTTTTGTGAAAAGATGACAAACATCGATGAAAAAGTGTGGGTGTGGGTGTGGGTGTGGGTAAATAGATCGGCACACCCATACCCCTCACCCACACCCACACCTACCCACACCCTTTCAAGAACGAGTTTTTGACTGTTTTTTTCATCACTATTTTTTCATGGGTTGCATATCTAGACTGGCTAGTTTTTCGTCTTTATTTATTGTTACTTTTGATATTTCATTAAGAAATTGTGATGTATTATTTTACAGAATAACTAATTGTTTGGGTTAATTCTTTTATTAGTGTTAATATGTATTGGGACTATGGGAGCATTATGGTGTTTCTTATGTATGTTATTAATCTCATTGGGCAATTTATTTGATGTATTTTTAGTCCCCCTTCGATTTTGGATAAGTCTTCTGTTGAATTGAATTCCATTTTCATTTTTTGTTTTATCTTGTTTTGTTTGAATAGTTCTTCTATTAATTCGGAAATACTTTTCTTAATTTTATTAATGGGATTATTAATTTGTCCATAGGTGTTGGTGTCATTTAATTTTTCTTCAATGTTTGAAATATAATCATCTTTGTTCATAATGACAACTTTTCCACCTCCATCTGCTAGTATGATAATAATATTTTCAATATTTCTAATATCTTTTAATATTTTCGTTTCTATT